CTGCTGAACTCCTCCATGCAATTCCCTCTCTGAGGAGCTATGCTTGTAGGCGCTGGAAAGGCCATTAAGGCAGTTGTTGGGCAATAACTAATGAAAAGGCTCTGCCAGCTTAAAAAGCTGGCAGTCAACTGGAGAGGCAGTACAATCATTCAAGCAGGGCATTACTGCTGCCACAGATAGTCCAAAAGCTGGCAGATCATAAAAGAGCTCGTCACCAACTTCAAGAGAGAAAGGTTTCCTTCCCCTGCCTCAATACAGCAATACGGATGAGAAGCCTTCACACGTAGCATGTCTCTGTTGCCTCTGCATCCCTAGCAAACAGCTGAAGTGACTTCTTAAATCAGCACAGTCATTTCTGTAACAGTCGACTAACCATAGCTAATAAACAGAGCTTCATCCAAAAGCCCTTTGTGACTGAGGCTAAGTAAACCAGAACCTCGCACAAACACTATTTCACCTAAAAGAGCTGCCGCTCAGCTGCCGCCTTAGATATCAGGGTGAGGGGCTTATAAATACACCTTCAGTAGTGGCACAGGGAATATGCTTTCTGTCTGCTATTAACAGCCTGCCAAAGACTTTTGTCATCCCTTTTCTTTTAAAAGCAAAGCTTATTTTAACCTCATATTCTGTTAATTGCCTTTTAGCACTAACTGAGAAAACAGAATCATGGCAAAACCTCTCTGAACTCATACACAAAGTTGCTACTCTGTCCATCTTCAAGTTCCTCTTAAAGATGGAATTCTGTGATCATGATGACAGTGAATCAACCTGACTTGACCATAAAAATCGGTAACAATTCCCCTGGTGTTGCCAATCCTTCCTCTCCCTTTCTTTGGCTGTCAGTCTATCCTCTGTCTTTGAACCATGAAGTCATAGAATCATAGAATATCACAAGCTGGAAGGGACCCATTATGGATCATAAAATCCAACTCCAAATCCCAGCAAAAGAATCCATTGTCCTTGAGCCACTGAAAAGCAACCAGGAAAACCACTTTTAGTCAGTCGTTCTGTTGTTTACTTCAACAGAAAGCCCTCCTACAGCAAGTCTTAGGTGAGCTTCTGTATGCCTAAGAACAGTTTCACCTACAAACTAGAGGGAAAATACTTTAATTTCCTTTGACTCAAAGTGTTTAAAACTCAGCAAGTTGGTAATATCTTAATTAACTAAGTGGGAATCTGCACCCAGCTCTTAACACCATCATTCAGCTCCCATACACTAAAACACCACACTACAACCATGCACATTACTATACTTCATGTGCACAAGCAACTGCAATAAATGGACATGGACTTTTTCAAATGGATCTGTAATTTCATACTCACACTTACTGCTCTTAAAAGCTGGTACCTACTTCTTCCTTTATCCCCCCCATGAAACCCAAAAAGCAAATTAATCAGAGAGAAGATGACAGCGCTGCCCAGCTCTTTAAATGCAAAGAGATAGAGATTCCAGCAGTAAGACTGTACCTTCTTTAAAACTACTGAGCAAAACAAAGCAGGACAGAAGCTATTGACAGTCCCAGCAGAATTACTCTCTGCAACTTGTATGGCTCTCTGCAATTGCCAGCTCAATGGCATGGATGATGGAGGGTGCGAAAGAGTGGGAAACAGCAGTGAAGACACCAGATAGGGTAAAGAAAACCACACCAAATTCATACTTACTCTGCTCTCTGATGTGTCTAGTGCAAGTCCATAAGACCCTAAAACTTTCTGCTTTGCTTTCTTTTGGGAATACTCTAGGGTCTAGGGAAGTCTTCCTAAAGTGTCAGAAAAATGTGTCCTTCATGAGATAGAATACAAAGTGATCCTTTGTAATACAAATTCAAGAAACCATGGGCCAATCAGCCTCACCTCAATCTCAGCGCTACCTTGTGACTTGTCAGTGTCAGTGGCATCCATCAGAGGTCAATGCAGGGGCCAAGACTACTCAACATGGTCACTGACAACCTGGATGACAGCACAGATCGCATTCTTAGTAAGTTTGAGGGTGATACAAAAATGGAGGGAGAGAGGGGGAATACGCTGGAGGGCATGGCTGCCATTCACAGGGACCTGGAAAAGCTGGAGAAAGGGGCCAACACAAACCTTGTGAAGTTCAAAGACAAACGCAAAGCCCTGCAACTGGGACAGAATAACCTCACACAACAACGCAGGCTGGAGGCCAACTGGCTATGTAGCAGTCTTGCACAAAAGGAACCGGGGGTCCTCCTGCTGCAAGTTGAACATGAGCTATTGCTGCCAGGGTGTACTGCTGAGGGGTAACTATATACTGGCAGGTATTATTGACACCATCTCCCACAGTATCCTCCTGG